AATAGTAATAATAATAGTAATAATAATAGTAATAATAATAGTAATAATAATAGTAATAATAATAGTAATAATAATAGTAATAATAATAGTAATAATAATAGTAATAATAATAGTAATAATAATAGTAATAATAATAGTAATAATAATAGTAATAATAATAGTAATAATAATAGTAATAATAATAGTAATAATAATAGTAATAATAATAGTAATAATAATAGTAATAATAATAGTAATAATAATAGTAATAATAATAGTAATAATAGTAATAATAATAATAATAATAATAAATAATAATATAATTTAACTTTGATTTGTAGAGGCTCATTTGATTCAAGACCAGTCGCTGTTAAGAGAGTCATTCAAAACTATTTTGATCTTGCTGACAGAGAAGTGGCATTATTGAGAGAATCAGATCAACATCCGAATGTGATTAGATACTTCTGCATGGTATGTCATATACACAATATACATGTATATATATATGTATACATGTATAGCTTTATTCTTATAATTATTATTATTTTTAGGAAGAAGACCCAACTTTTCGTTACTTGGCTCTTGAACTTTGCTCTGCTACCCTTCACGAGGTCAGTATAACTCAGTATAACCCAGTATAACCTCTGGACTCTTTTATGATTCTTCCTGTATAACTCAGTATATTTCCCTTGTATATTATTAGTATGTGGAGGGTCAGAAGATGAGTGAGTTCAGTATTGATGAGAAGCACATTATAGCAGAATCAATGTCTGGAATCAATCACTTGCATAGTTTGGGGATTGGTATGTGCTCATCTTTATCTCATACATCAGGACCTAGCCCAGTCATACATGTACATGTATAGGCCTTTTCACACTGGCCAAAGTCACACTGGCCAAAGTCACACTGGCCAAAGTCATTGATGTGCATTAATCATGTTCACACTGGAGAGGTGGATTGATGTGAAGTGATGCGCTTCGATCAATGTAAACCAATGGCAACAAGAACACAAAATGATACATAATTCAGCTGCTAGTGTGAACAAGATCAATGTGCATTATTTCAGCTGTATCAACAAAGCGCAAAGTGCTTTGAAAACTGTGCCAGTGTGAAAAGGCCTTATATTTAATTTCTATCTCTGCTTTATCTGTGGGAAATATTTATACAGGAAAGGGAGGGTCATCATCATCATCATCATCATCATTATTATTATTATTATTGTTATTATTATTATTATTATTATTATTACTATTACTATTCTTATTATATTGTAGTTATTAATATTTCTAGTTCTAAAATTAGTAACTGCTATTTTTAGTAACATCAAAACTCTCCATAATACATGTAACCATTACCAATGGAGTATATCTTCTACTAATATTAATATGAGCCGATTTGTTTATGCACTTTATCTCTTATAACACCTCTTCCAATCTCTCACTATCTTAATAATGACAATTCTATTAATATTGAATAAAAATCATTCATTTTATTCTCTTTGTTATTAATGTTTGTTTTTAGTTCACAGGGACTTGAAACCGCAGAACGTTCTCTTGCGGACCTCGTCCTCTTTGAAAGTAAGAGCACTCATCTCTGACTTTGGGCTCTGCCGTAAGCTACCAGATGGAAGAGGATCATTCACAGCTCAGTCAGGAATACTGGGAACCGAAGGATGGATCGCACCGGAAATGTTTCAAGACAGAACAAGAGTGGTAAGGAGAGAGAGGGAGGGAGAGAGAGAGAGAGAAAGGAAAAGAGAGAGGAGAGAGAGAGTGTGTGTGTGTGTGTGTGTGTGTGTATGTGATTTAAGTGAAAAGGGAGAGAGAGGGGAAGGAGGGAGGGAGGAAAAAAGAGGAAGTTACATGGAGTTGTTTATCAGAGAGAAGGAGAGTAAAAATGTACTTATTTGGGCGTGAAAAGAGAGCGAAACAAAGAGAAAACATGTACATGTAGGGAGAGGCTGAAGCTCAAGTGTTGCCTGTTAGTTTGGTAAAGGGAGCCATAGAGTGATCATCAGTAGAAAAGCAAACAACTTGCTACAAACATGTGTACAGGAGAAACAAATGGACATAGAGAGAGAGAATACATGTACATAACTTTAAATCCATTACATGTACATGTACATGTTGAGAGTACATGTACATGTACATACATTAAGCGAAGCTAGCCTAATCTGCGGCTGCGTTTACACGGCAACGAAAACGATGCAACCAAAACGATGCAATCCGCTTCTGTTTACACAGAAACGAATGAAAACGTGATAGAATCTTGATAGGACTCTATGGAAACGAAAACGGTGTTCAAAGTGTATCGTTTTAAAAAAGAAACGTTTTGCGTTGCTGTGTAAACAGGGCCACATGCATCGCTAGCCTAATCTGCATCGTTTTTGCTATTACTGTTTTCAGGTGTTTACGCTAATCCAGCACCTGCGTTTCTATTGGACTTTATCATTTTGTTTATAGAGTTATCTGTTTTGGTATTCGTTTTTCTTTTGTTCAGATTTGATATGCATTTTCTTGTGTTTTAGTGTAAACGAGACCCTTATCTGACTAAAAATATATCCGTTTTACTTTAAAATGTAGTCGTGTAAACCAGGCTTTAGACTTGTCATTGTGTATCATTATCATGATTCTCATTCTTTAGACGTGTGCAGTTGACATATTTGCAATGGGTTGTGTAATATATTACGTTCTCTCGTGTGGGGGTCATCCTTTTGGTCCGCCATTGAAGAGACAGGCTAACATTGAGGCTGGGGATTTCTCTCTTAAGGCATTAATCGGAGAGGACAGATACACAGCAGAGCACCTCGTCAATAACATGATTAGCTTCAACAGCAAACTAAGGTACCCTTACTTTTAAATTTGCTTACTGCCTTTTGAATCAACCTCTTGTCATAAAATAATATTGAACTTACGTGAAAACTTATTGCTAAGCAATGGGTGCATGTATACCAACCACACGTACATGCACATTATTATCAATTTGTAAGCTACTCATCTATTCCAATCAACATACATGTACATGTATGTGTTTTGACGCCTTTTCTTATTTTACAATTACATGTAAGTTTGACTTCTATTTTAGACCAACGGCCGACGAGGTACTTCATCACTGCTTGTTTTGGTCAAAGAGCAGGCAGATGAGTTTCTTTCAAGACGTTAGCGACAGGATCGAAAAGGAGACACCTCAGTCAGCAGTAGTGCAAAGCCTAGAGAGAGGAGCCAATCACGTCATCAAAGGAGACTGGAGGGACCACATTGGAGAGGAACTGAGACAAGGTACGTGTACACGTATGTACATGTACATGTACATGTTGTGATTTGTAATGGTGTTAGTTTGGTGCATGTACGTATTCTTCATTGTAAATGTTAATGCATTTTTCTTATAATTATCAGAAATAGTGTCATTCTTCACGTCCTTTCATGGTAATGTGTAAGATTTTGATTCACTTCTTTTACTGTGGTGTGACAATCCATCCAGAATGTTCCATTTGACACTCATTTTAATTCTTTTGTATTAGATTTGCGTCGATTTAGATCGTATCAGGGAACATCGCTACGGGATTTATTAAGAGCAATGAGAAATAAAGTAATAGATTAAAAAATTAAAAGAGAATAATAATAATAATAAATTATGTATCTTGTTGTCCCTCAGAAACATCATTATCGAGAGTTACCAGAAACCCTCAAGGAGAGCTTAGGTCAAATCCCTGACGGATATGTGACGTACTTCACATCAAGATTCCCGGCACTACTCGTCCATACTTATAAACAAATGGAGATGTGTTGTAACGAGCCTGTCTTCAAAGCTTACTACTCTCGTTCCTCTTGATGGGGTGGTGGGGGTTTCATTTTTTGTTACACGGTTTCTCAAATTAGTTTATTATTGATAATTTTTGTAATTTATTTTTCATTTCATTCATTTTTCTACTCTCCCTCCTCCTCCCCAACCTTCCCGTGCAGTTACTTCACTACAATTGGATTTTAAATGAATTTTATTTTTCAAAAAAAAAGAACCTAAATAAACTCTTGACAACTAAAGAGTTAGCATGCGCTCCTAAAGAGCACATAAAAAAACTAATAAATAAATCAGGGGAAATTGAGATAGTGAAAAAAAGCAAAAAAAAGGCCTAAAACTAAACTACGTTAATGTTCGTGTAATGTCTCAGCCAGTGAGTACATTACTAGGCAAAGAACAGGCTTCAATCCTTCATCCTCTATGTCATTGCGAGAGCGCAGATGATGACAAAGAGGGCCATGAAGACTGTGATGATGGAACCGACGATGCAATTGATGGTGTACTTGTCAAACCTCTCAGCATCTTCGACTTGTCCGGTCTTGCTGGCATAGAGAGCCTAGTTGCAACAAAGAATATCGATTTAATAATGCTAAAGGATGAATGTGCTTACTCTCAGGGCACAGATAAGAGCTGGGGTGGTGCATAAGAGGGTAATGACTGTCCCGAATATGGCACAGAAAACCGTGAGGACCACGGTAAAGGTAACGTAATGATCACGAGCAATAAGGGCCCTAAAGTGTGCAAGTAGGCGAGTGTCCTCTTTCTCTTCCTCAGGATCCATGTCAGGGATTTGGATGGTGACCTGCCTTCCCTGAGACTGAGAGAGAGAGAGTGAGAGTGGACGTATAAATAATAATTCACAACTTCCCACACCCGCATAGTACTAGTTATTACTATTTTTAGTATTTAGCACTGTAAACATTGAAGGCTCTTGACTGCTAAAGGAGGTAATTGAAACGAAACCTTTACATGTAGTAACACGTCATGGAATGTGTCTGATGTATGCACATAGATACACGTGCATGAGAGTGGGTATACATAAGGACACGTGGATGTGAATGGGCACACGTGGATGTGAATGGGCACACACGTGTAGCTAAAACAACTGAACTCCATTATCTAAAGCATTATCTCAAGTAAAAACAGCCGCACAAGCTGTACGACATATATGCTTGTGGTTAAATCTAAATGCTACATTGTTAATGGGTAGGCTATGCATGTACACATAATAATCCCAAGACCTATAGCTACATGCATTACCGATTGCTGGGATGGATCTGGCAATGGCATAGGAGAAGGGTCTGTCAATGGTATAGGAGAAGGATTTTGCGATGGTATAGGAAGCAATGGTATAGGAGGCAATGGTATTGGAGAAGGATCTGGCTGACCTGTAAGAGACTAAATAATCAATACCCTAACTCCTTCTCCACTTACCTGACTGCTCCTTTTGAGGGGCTGGCTTTTCAACAGGTGCAGGGTGAACTGCATTAAGACGACGTCCTATGTTTAGACGAGGAGGCACCTTAAGGTAACTCATGATAACCTCAGGAGTCTGGACTGGTGGTGGATTAGTGGGCGCCTGCTGAAGATGACAACCGGATGAACCTAAGACAATGGTTTCGAGATCCTCAACATCCTCGATGTCCTCCTCGTTGTTGTTGCAATTGTTGTCCTCCTTGTTGTTGTTGCCCTCCTTGTTGCTGCTATCCTCTTTGTCGTTGTTGTCTTCCTTGATGTTGTTGTCCCTTTTTTTGTTGTTGTCCTCCTCATTGTTGTTGTTGTCCTCCCTAATGATGTTGCCATTGTTGTCCTCCTCGTTGTTGTTGTCCTCCTCGCTGTTGTTGTCCTCCTCGCTGTTGTTGTCTTCCTCGTTGTTGTTGTCCTCCTCGCTGTTGTTGTCCTCCTCGTTGTTGTTGTCCTCCTCGCTGTTGTTGTCCTCCTCGCTGTTGTTGTCTTCCTCGTTGTTGTTGTCCTCCTCGCTGTTGTTGTCCTCCTCGTTGTTGTTGTCCTCCTCGCTGTTGTTGTCCTCCTCGCTGTTGTTGTCCTCCTCGCTGTTGTTGTCCTCCTCGCTGTTGTTGTCTTCCTCATTGTTGTTGTCCTCCTCGCTGTTGTTGTCCTCCTCGTTGTTGTTGTCCTCCTCGTTGTTGTTGTCCTCCTCACTGATGTTGTATATATACCCCTCAATGTAGTTGTCCCCCCCGCTGATGTTGTATATATACCCCTCAATGTAGTTGTCCCCCTCGCTGATGTTGTATATATACTCCTCAATGTAGTTGTCCTCCTCGCTGATGTTGTACTCCTCAATGTTGTTGTCCTCCTCGCTGTTGTAATTGTCATCTTTATCTGTGGCATCGTTCTCTTCCTCATATTCGTCGGCTGAGGATGCCTCGCTGACATTATGTATGCCATCATTCTTATTATTCCCGATGAGACCATTGAACAGCGAATAAATATCAAGTCCTGGTAGATAAGGCACCTCATCTCCATCATCATCATCATCGCTGGGAAGAGCATCATAATCGACAACAGTGATTATAGGAATCTCAAACTCGCGTGGCACAAGAGTAAAAGTATCAATCCTCCTACCCTTCCTCTTATAGCAATAAGGCAACTCGTCTTCCTCTGATATTGGAGTGAGGTAAATGGTCTCGTAATCATCGCCATCAAACTCAGCATCGCTGTCATCGCTTGGGACGGAGTACTCATCTGCAGGAGCAAGGATACCCCTCCTCCTGTAGGGGACATCCAAGTAATCCATGCAATCAGTGTCATCGGGGATATGCTGCAAGTAGTCTTGATAGAGGTTTGCAGGGTAATCTTTCTCGAGCTTTGCGAGTGACTTTGGGAGGCATTTCTTCTGGCAGCACGGCTTTTTGCAGAGTGCAGAGCAAAGATTGGGATTTAGTGGGAGCTCCTCAGACCCGAAGGAGTTGTCAACAACTATTGAAGGAACTTCATCCGTTTCTTCATTTGGCTCTGGCAGATCATCAAGAGAGGGAGGAGAAGGAGTCTTCCTGAGCCTCATGAGCTGCTCGGTAATGTCATCATCAAAATCGATGTCCTACAGAATGAAAATTGTTTTTATAAAAAAAACATTATAATATATACACGTACTTCATATATACTGCCAACCTTTTCAAGTGGCATTGGGCTGTTTGGTTCTGGAAAAGAAAGAAAAGAGTTTTTAAAAATTTTACAACTCCTGCCTTACCTTCCTCCATTGGCTCGGTTTAGTTAGGGTATTTGCCAGAGAGGAGCTTTGGCGACCTCCTAGCAAATGAAGCGAGATTGCGCCGGTTGGCGGGTAAAATAGGCTCCTTGTTATGGGCGTGGCTTGTTTCTATGACATCGAAACAAGATGGCCGTCAGACCTCCTGTTAGTAAAAGTAATGTTTTCTTGCTCATGGTGACTGGAGAGATAGAGTCAGCAGAGGTACAAGCCGAGTGATAGTTCATATTTTATTTTTTATTTGTAGTTTCCAGAGTACGATGGGCTGTACTGTAACTTTTCATTCTTTTACGGTCAAGATTGGACTGTTTTATCAGTAAGCCAGTTCTCCCTTGTCCTCTTTGCATATTCTTAATGTTAGAATTCATCTGAAGGCATTACTCAAACTTCTATGAGGGGATCCTCTCCGGCAAGTAACTTTGTTTGGAATTTTCCAATTGACGTCACTTTTAAAAGCACCAATCCATTTGGATGTAAGGGATTGACTGTACAATACTGTAGAACTCGACCGTTGTTTATCCATAGCATCCAAATAGAGTGGCCATGTGGCCATTTTAATTACATAATAAATAAAATTAACATTAATTAATTAAGATTAAAATTTTTTAATAAGCATCCACTTATTTGTGAATTTAAAGTCAGTAAAGTTACATGTATTTCTACATGTATTCTGCAACTGAAAAATGGACTTTTTTGTGTGTGTTTTTGAATAATAGTATAATTATTATTAATGTTATTAATTTTTTGCAAATCTTGTAGGGCCCCAGATAGTGGTCAGTGTGTATGGAGTCAATTCATTGGGGAGGGATGAAGTGAGAGGATATGGTAGCATTCATTTACCTGTTACTCCTGGAAGGTATGATAGTGCATGAAAAACTTTATTAGTTCCAAAGGCCTAGCAACATTTGTGGCTACTTTGATATACATGTAAATGTATTATACACTGTACATGTTTAGAAAGTTTGAGCTGATTCTAATCAAGATTGGATTTTTTTACAAAATTTTAAAGTTCCTCCAAAATTGGGCCAAAGGTCCCTGTACTATAGTACAGGGACATTGGTCAAATTTTGCCAAAAATGACTAGGAGAGAATTTTTTATTTTTATAATTCTTTCTCATGCATAGATATGTTCTTATGTTGTGTAGCAAGTTTGAGCTGATTCTGATCAAAATTAGATTTTTTACGAATTTTTAAAGTCACTCAAAAGTTTAGGCCAAAGTCCCTATACTATAGTACAGGGACTTTAGGCAAATTTTGCAAAAAAAATTTGCGAGAGAATTCCTCACTTTAATACTCTTTTTGATACATATAGATGAACTTATGTTGCATAGAAAGTTTGAGCTGATTCCGATCAAAATTGGATTTTATACAAAAGTTTTTAAGTTGTTCCAAACCAAATTTTGTCAAAAATGAAAAGTATACAGAATTCACCATTTAATAATTTTTTGATACATACATGTATGCGGGCGCGGTTGCCGTAGATTCTTAACAATAATTCCCAGCACATGTTTCTTGTTTTTAATCATTGTAAATATTGTTGAGACTATACAACCGTTGATCTTTCTGTTTTCTCTATGGCTGTTGGTTTTACATCAACATGGTTGTTTATGATGCTATTTCAGTTATCATAAACACACACTATGCATTTTAAGCAAGAATGTAGTAAATATTTCTAAATTTTTAGTTTCGGTAAATCCATGTCTTTTTGTATGGGCTTATGTTTACGTATAGGATATGCACATGTAGTGTAGCAATGACTTCAGAAAGTTCAGATGCTGAGTGCTAATCAAATATAATAATGATACAAGAGTATTATGCAAAATTAGAACCAGTGGATACAGTTAATTAACTCAGTAGTTAATTGTTTGTTCTTTTCTTCAAACTAACACACACACACGTACACAATTTCACAGACATAGTCTTGATATTGATATGTTTGTCCCAGAACCCGCTTCAAAACTTCAAAAACTTGTTAGGTAAGAACATGCTATTAATATTATTGCAATTGAATTAACTTTTCACGTTCTGATGTTAAGAAATAATAATTATATTCAAGATTTTATGCATTTTTGTAGTTGGTTAATTGGCCCACGACCCGAACTAGTTGATCCTAAGTTTGTGGCAAGAGGCGAAGGAAGAGAAAGTAAGAAAATGTTTTTACGCAGAGAATCGTTATTATCATTTATACCTTAGTCACTAGAGTCTCGTCGCAAGGTTTTGTACGTGCAAATGTCAACATTGTCATGAAGGACTTTTCAAAGCAAGGCTATCGTAATGGGACAGAACGCTTTTCAAATAATTCATCTTGATAAATTATCATTAAAATAATTTTTATCATCTGTGATTGTTTAATTAGAATATTTACGGTATGACACTATGTGTTAATTAGCTGTGCGAGCAGAGCTGTAGTGAACTAACTTTTGCTTGAAAGTGGGTCAAGCTCAAGAATAGACTAGCTCAAGAAGGATACACTAACTTCAGTGCTAATTCAAAAACTCTTCCTCTTGAAATGGATATTGTCAGGGCATCATATCCTTATGCTTGCAGTACCTCTGGGCCCGGCGGTGGGAGTAAAGGCCAGCTTGTCTTCCCTGAAGGTGCTGTATTGTTGGTGGCAGAAAGGTCGGATGATGGCTGGTGCAGGGGATACTCTGCAGGCAATCAAGGCTGGTTCCCTGCATCTTACGTCTCTCCAATAACGCCAGAACAACTCCTAGTGGTAAGCCAGCCGAGCGTGGAATGCACATCACACTTGTGTTTGTTTTAGTGTCTTAGCTGTGTTTTGAGACATGTGTTTTCTTTGATTATCTAACATGTGTTTTTTATAATCATGCATGCAGCATTCAGTGAATCCTGTAGCATTGAACAGCATCCTTCGCTCGCCCTCATGGACAGTTTATGCAACAGTGGAGGGGAAGCTCTATTATGTGAACAATAACTCAAAAGGTGACAGAGTTTTCATTATTATTATATGATTATCATTAAAACTTCTGCTGTCCATGTCAGCATCTTTCCTCATAACCAGCTTCATGTAGTTATAGGCAATGAATGAAGGATTCATATTCATTGATTGCTGATATTTACTAATGAACAATGGCCTCAAGTAATTCATTGACATTTTGACTTGCACTGTAGGCCATATTCCATATTTTCATTTCCATCCACACCCAAGAGGCCTCAAAATCTAATAATTTTATTTTGGTAATGGAGACACTAGAGCATTGCCTTAAAGTACCCTTGTTTAAGGTTTTTGGTCATCGCCTCTCCCAAGCTATTGACACAGTATTATAAAGAGCGCATAATTATGTACTCTGCATAGATGTTATGTTTACCACTGATGGCAGTATATAAAAGCTAGGTTCTAACTTACTATACTCTCTTTTGTTAAAAAGTATTATTATACTATCATTTTTATCCCTAGAGACATCTTGGACACTGCCTAGTCCTCCAGGCAATAGTTTAGATACACTGAGTGTCCCAACTGAGAAATCACCTCTTCATGTGTCAAACGGGGTCGCAATGAGAAGTAAGGAAATACTTTAAACTGCACAGTTAATATCTTTTTTATGCATGGTAGGGAAAACAATGAAAGAGGCAAGGATGCATTATTAATTAGGATAGTCCTTATTTTAATATTTGTATTATCTTTTTGTAGGCCGAGAAACCCAAGAAAGCGAAATATCGAATTGTGAGTTGATATTATGGTCCTGCCAATGTTTCATTGTTTATGTAGGTCAATGGTATTACTTTCTGTATCGAAGGCGGCGAGCCTCAGGAGTTAATGAATCCTCAGGCACCTTCCTACATTGATTACTTTTGGGTAAGAATTTAGGGCAAATGTAGACTACAATGCTTTGGTTTCATTCATTGTATGGCGAGAATGATCACTGCACGGTATTTTAAAAATAATTTTGAGATATTCAAAATTGGAATAAATCAATTTTGAAAGTTTATTTTACAATCTAGTCTGATAAAGGGGATCGAAGTGGTTTTGACGTTATAAGAGAGAAGCACGTCCAAGGGAAAGACGTTATCAAGGAGATGATGGATTTCTTCAAAGAAAGGTCTCATTGTTCTAATAATAGCATATTGCTGATATCATTATTGCATTGCAGAGCTGCCATTGAAGAGCAATATGCACGCAACCTAAACAAACTGTCAAAATCCACTCATGGTGAACAGGAAGAAGGGTTAGTGTGAACTTCTTCCACTATCTGTAGTAGCTAGTCCTCCTTTTTGTATTTTACATGCCTATGCAGAACTTTATTGGCTGCATGGAAGTCACTCAAGGCTGAATTAAGACAGAGATCAGAGGCACACAGCAAGTTTGCCAGCAAGGTACATTAGCCTGAATATCTCATATTGTTACCATGGAATGGATATTGTATTGAAAAACTTTGCAGATAACAGAAACGATTGAAAAGCCACTGTTTGAATTTAAAGAATCACAGAAGACAGATAGGAAGCATGTATGTATATTTATTTTTGTGTCCATATGGAGAGTATTGTGACAATTATTTGTTTGTTTAATTTTAGCATGAGCAACTTTTGGAGAAATCGAGAAAGCAATTGCAGTCACTTGATGCAGCCATTGATAAAGTATGTTGTATCTTTAGGCATAATAAAGGCAGCTCTTGCTATTATTATTGTTATCATTACTAATAATAAATTTTGTACAGGCTAAACAGTCATTGAATGGGTTGGTAAAAACAAGCGGCAAGATGAAAAGGGTATGTTTATTCGAGCTATTAATAATATTATTGCTCTCATCTTTATACACAGCAAAGCAGCATAAATGGAGATGTAAAGATTGGTCAGTACTGCCTGAGTATTATAGCATATATATTCTTAATACTCTCCTTATAGGAGACGACATGAAAAAGTTGGAAGCAACATATAACCAGGCTCAAAGACTTTGGGTGGATAATATGATTGCAGCTTGTAGAGTAAGTAGCTCTTTCATTTTCTCTGCTCTCAAAGTTGCCTTATTCAATTATGATTGTGTTGATAATATAAAAACATAGTAAAATAAATGCTCTATTATGCTTTACCATAAATTATGCTCTACCATAAATTCTTACCTCAAAGCAATATAATATTCTTTCTTCTTAATGTATTAGGATTTCGAGCGCCATGAAGAAGAACGCTCTGCTTATCTAAAGGACCGGTTTCTTGCTTACATTGATCTCTGCGTTGAAGCACAAGAAACAACAGCACAGGTAGCTAGAGCTGAAATGAACATTCATATCATACAGAATAGAACACTCACTGTATGCATAGTATAAAGGAAAAGACATGTATCGAGTTTTTATGTTGCATGTTACTATCTAACAGTATAAATGATATGTGCTGGTATTTATTTGTTATTTTAGGCTTTGACTTATTCTACAAATATGGTTGACAATATAAATAAAAAAGCAGACAGGGAATTCTTCATCAAAAAGAAAGGGACAGGTACACTAAGACCTGTTGACAGAGTCATACTTGAAACTTGAAACTAAATTAACAAACCTTCATTATTATTTGTTTTTATTATTCATTTTGTGTGACAGCGATTTCCTTTTTAAAAAAATTTTATTTATGGGAGTGGTCATCATCATACACGTGTTTCCTGTCCTGTGAGTCCTGTCGATGGCTGAAAAGAAGACTCCCGTTGGCCATGGAACGGGAAAGAAGCAACAACAGCAGCTTACAGGTTACGAGCGAGCAGCTTTAGTGTGGTGATTAATAGCAATTGGGCTAGTTTATAGGAAGAGGCTTTATAATATGTGTGGCTCCCGTTTAGCTCTTTTTGCTGACTGTATTAAAATTGTGCTGGCACGGTAATTTCGGTCAAATGACTTTTTACATGTAGGAGGTTTGTGCTTGCTTCCTCTGCCCACTTCTAGCAATTCTTTGCGTTGCCTTTTTATGTAATGACAGTTTGTACAGGAGACAATGGCAGAGACAGTGCTAAAATGTGCTTCATAACTCGTGATTTATGTATTGATGTGTTTCTTTATTATCTTTATAGGGCAACATTCTTTTCAGAAGGACAGATATGGAAGAGCGTAAGTACTTTAAAAAACATTGAAATTTATTTTTGTTATTTATTAATTATTTTAGCGGTCAGTCTCACGGCTCTGAAAGTATGAACTGGAGAGAACCGAATTCCTCCTCGTCAAATTCCTCTAAATCATTTTCTCCTCAAATGTTTCATTCGCCATCATCAACATTCTCTCAATATAAAGACATGCCACCATCACAGGATCATATTGATAATGTTGCTTTCTTGAGTTCACGTATGCAAAGATGTTCTCATTTTCTTTTGTTTGTATAACATTATGTATTTTTATGCCTTTAAGAGCACAGATTTTTGAGTACTGAGCATTTGAAAATTTATGCTTATTTCTATTCTTGAAATTTTTGAATATCTTTATGCTTCCATGCATTGATGCTATGTTTTTACATTTCTGTTTATGTGAATCTTGTACATTGCTTTTCTTTTTTCTGCTTTATAGGTTGGCAAGCAATTCCTTCGGAGCTTAAACGTAAGGCCTTTATGATATAGCATGTCCTTATCTCTTCTTCTAGGTACTCCTACTAGACAAATGCCATCTACTCAATAACAATTATTATTAATCAATAATCACGCTATGTTTGTTCTGAAAAATTAAATGAATTGACACGTGTATACACGTGACCCATTTTCCGCATAACTCCGTCCTTTTTGTAAAACTTGTCAACATGGCTGCCAGAAGCGGAGTCAAGAAAAACGGTTTCCAGTTTTGGAAGGAGGACCTCGGTAGCCCAAAGCTAATAGTAGCTCCAATGGTAGACCAGTCTGAATTGGCATGGCGCCTGTTTAGTCGACAGCACGGTGCAGAGCTCTGCTACACACCCATGATGCACGCTTCCTTGTTTCGACAAAGCCCAAAATACAGGAGAGAGAACTTTGCCACTTGTGCTGAAGACAGACCGCTGATAGCTCAAGTATAAATGGAATGTGTGCTTCATTATTTGTATCATTGGCTATCAGAATAGTTGAAATATCTGACCTGCATGTGACATTAGGCCATTCCAATTATGTTTAATTATACACTTGTGTTTAACGCTAGTTTTGTGCTAATGATCCTCAAGTTCTTCTCGAGGCTGCACGATATGTCGAGGAAGATTGTGATGCTGTCGATATAAACCTTGGCTGTCCTCAGACCATTGCTAAAAGAGGTATATATATATAATATAGATTTGAATTGAGTGTGCTCTGGGTGTCTTATCATCTTAATTCTAAAAGGTCACTATGGTGCTTTTTTACAAGACGAATGGGATCTCATTGCCAAAATGGGTCAGCATTTCTAAAATTGACATTGTGATTATTATTGTATAGCAATCATGTATGAATTATGGTAGATTGTGACTTTTTCGTTAATCGGTTTTTTTTTTAGTTAATCTTCTTCATTGTGAATTATCAGTTCCAGTGACTTGTAAAATAAGAGTCTTTGAAGATATTGATAAAACCGTTAGATATGCCAAAATGCTTGAATCAGCTGGTTGTCAGGTCAATGCTCCATACATGTATTACCTGTACTGTATCATTTAAATACAATATGAATACATTGTCTGTGGTTTAACGAACCTTATTGATTTGAGTTATTGTGTCCATTAGTTACTCACTGTTCATGGAAGGACTAGGAGCCAGAAAGGCATGTTGACCGGGATAGCAAGTTGGGAGCACATCAAAGCAGTGAAGTGAGTACTATATAACACGTGTCATCCTAACCACTACACTGTATTGTCTGTATTATCGTCTCCATTTGGATTGGCTTATCTTACTTTGTAGGGAGAATTTGAGTATTCCTGTATTTGCTAATGGTAACATTAGGTTCCTTGATGACGTTAAGAAATGTCTTGACGAGACAAGAGTAGAGGGTGTGATGTCAGCCGGTAAAGGAAATACTTTATATTTATCTTCCACACTCTCCCTTCTTTCTTTTCTCTCTCTCTCCTCTTCTCTCCTCTCCTCTTTCATCCCCTTTTATCCAGAGGGAAATTTGTTTAACCCAGGATTGTTCCATGGAGAGCAGCTAGCCTGTTGGTCAGCTGTAGACGAGTATTTGTCATGGGTTAAGTTATATCCTCCGTCAATCTCCATCGTTAGAGGACATCTTTTTAAACTATGGCACCACGTGTGAGGACATCCTTCCCCTCTCTCTCTCTTTTTTATCATATCCTTACCTTTTAGTCTTCAGACTCCTGGTTATGATCATTTCAGAGATAAGATTGCTACAGCTAAAACTATAGAAGGATTTGAATTGGTTTCGTCAGAATTGAAATCATTGCTACTGGTACGTACTTGAGTGTATCTAGCTGTTTTTGACAAATAATTTTGAGTTACACGTATAATCATTTTAGAATTAGCAATTTTTTGAAAAAAGGCTATAGCCCATGGTATTTTCTAAAAGTTGGGCTTTAAATCACTTCAAAAAATTTTCTATTTTTCAATGAATATGTATCAGTTCTGTACTGCATTACTACTTTCAAATTTTTTTGCAAATTGACCTCTTTCTAGAGTAATATTACAGAGGAGGAGTTGAAGTCAGAATATTCTTGCACCATTGGGAGCATACCATACTGGAGATGCCAGCCATATGTTAGACCGAGGTATCATAAAGTATTAATTGCATACTTAGTGTGTGTGTGTCTATTTGATAGCTGTGATATGAAGAGATCAAGAGCTGCAGATGGACCCTCTGACAATGGTGGTCAAGCCACTCCAGCTAATAGAAAAAAGAAAAGAAAGAAAGTGTCTGACTCATCTCCACTTACTGGCAACAAGGAAGGATCTGGTAAGAGACAATTTATTATTATTATTATTTTATATAATAATTATTTTGTTGTTGTTTTTAGTGAAAAAACAATGGATGCTTTGTGTACTGTGTCGAACTCATCCAATGGTATAAAGAAATAATTATTCCCACTGCTACCTGGTGTTTGTAGGGTTTAAAATGCGTCAATAAACTGTGTAAAAGATGCTGTAAGATAAAGAGTGCTCACGACCTTATCGACTGTACTGGTAAGAGACTATCAGATACTTTTAATGACTAATACCCTGGATATACAATGTAATAGACTGGGATTATTATATCTATCACCTTGAGGAGACAATTATTATCGTGCATTTATCTTAGTGATTTTTGTGATACTGACATTGGCTGGTATTTAATTTAGCATTTTGATAAATTGAAGTTAGTGCAGATTTAAGTTAATGACTTTTTTAAATCACTAAATTAAATACCCACAAACGATTGTTTCCTTAAAAGTATATTATTATCTAATGCTCTTGTTCTTGCTTTAGGCCATCGCCTTCTCTTTAAAACAAAATTTGAAAAAATGAAAGAGCAACAGCAAGACCAATCTGTTCAAATTGAAGAGCTTGCAACAGTCACTTAGTCAATAATTCCCCTTTGAGTTCTAATGTCTAATGAACCTGCTGATTATACATTATTCATTATTTTGTATCTGTTTCTCGTATTATAATATTTATTTATTCATTATATAGCAGCACAACAACAATTATATATGTGACAAAAATACATGTAGGTTTAAAAATAATGCACACACAGAGAAAGTATTAACATATTTCATATGTTAATGATTTCAATGTATTTGTTCAATTGTTCTGCAATGAGTGAGAATGTTGTCCTGAATCCTAACTTGAGGAGCCCTAAAGAAAGAGAATTAACATACTGTAATCAAGCACTTAAATCTCGATTGGCTCCTGCAACAGAGTGTCAGAATCTCACAGGATTTCAAGAAAGGTAGAAATAGCAGCGTAACATGTATCTACATATCTTTCTCTCCTTACCTGAGTTATAGGCACCTTTAAGCATTTTATGCATTGCCCCGTAAAAAGCTACTTGAATCAGCAGAGTCATTTTAGTATGCGTGGCACCATCTGTGAAAAGAGAAGGCATGAATATTGCTATACTTATGAGCTCCTTCTCTTTCTCCTTTTCTCTCTTTCCTTCTCCTCTCACTTGGTCCTGGATAAGGCGATAGGACACAACCAGAAGTGTCTAAACTGATTCTAGTGTAACCAGGTTGGGGAGGGAGTATGTCAGGATGATCAATAGAAAACATGACAAATCCTAGTAAAGAGCAACAAAAATATAAAACCCCTGTCTTCCCATTCTCTAATATAAAACCCCTGTCTTCCCATTCTTTCTAAGAGGAGTTGAATACCTGCTGTGCTGTCTGTTGTGAGACCAGGTGATATCCATGTCTTCATGGCTGCTATATCACGCTTCGACACACGAGGCAGTGGGGGCTGAAATTCATTGTATACAACAGTTGAATGAGGTTCACCTAAACAATAATAATAACGATTAATAATGTTGTTTTACAGTGTATTTGTGAATGCATGACGTATAAATGCGTTTTTACTAATGACAATATTAATGTGATAAACCTGGTAGTTCTTCCACTAGTAGCTCATTCCTGAAAATGTAGTCCAACTGAATGTAATGAAAAGGATGATAATCATACTTTTAACATGCTCTTCCTTACTTTCCCTCCATCTTTAGTACTGAGTCGCAGGAACTGAAACACATTTGTGGGATCAGCCGGTAAAGTTCCCTCAATTTTAATGACAGCATGACCTCTACTGCTTCTACCAAACCTGGCCCTTGCTACAGTGACACCATCTTTTGTATCTGAATGTGACCATACTATTGTCTTTACTTTCTGACAAAGGTTCTGCCATTGCTATAAGAGATGAAAAAGAGAGGGAGGGAGAGAGAGAGAGAGATAGATAGATAGATAGATAGAGAGAGAGAGAGAGAGAGAGAGAGAGAGAGAGAGAGAGAGAAAACAGTGACATTAACCATGATAACAACTGAGAGACAACAGTGATAACAATCACTTCTTGTATTCGCACAACAAGATGACATATGCTGAATTGCTTATGGTCATAAAATAACATCATGTAACAATGACTCTCTCACTTGTATTCTCCATGAAGGACTCTCATAACAGGTTCTTTTCTCTTGTACAGACAGGCCCACGTCAGGGCCTACATGTTGTGAAGATCCCTGAGGTGTGGCTCCAGTGCCTGCCCCTTCCTCCATCATATCATCATCAAGCTCATCAATCAGTTCTTCGTCTGTTAGTTCTTCACGATTTAACCTGTGATACACAAGAATGTAGCATGCAGATACACAGACTGGTATACAGATAAAGTTTAACAATTAAGGTATATAGTAGCATACCGTCTATCTGGAAATTTTTACTGTGATTTAAATTTTACTGGATTAGAATTTCGCAAAAAATTAGATTACCCGTATAATTACATGCCACATTCAATAATACATGACACAGTCTTATTTAGTAAAAATTAAGTCACAGCACAATTTTAAACTGCAAAAATTTCCTACCACACTAATTTCCTGATCTACGGTATTTTAAAGTAGATAGTAACCATACTTCTAGTAACCACACTTCTTGTATAGAAGGAAAGGCTATGCAGAAAATGTGTTACTAGTATTAAGTAGCAAGACTGGTAAAATCCACTCATAAGTGTACTCCATCATACTGTATGTGTCTAAAGCCCAACATCCACTATGGCAACTTTGTTGAAAGCAACTTTGTGGTTACTTTGATGTATGTCAACTTTGTAACCAAAAGTAGAACAGTGTTCTACTTTTGACAACAAAATTTCTTTTGATTTCAACAAAGTTGCCTAATGGATGTTGGGCTTTACCTTTCAGCATCAGGTAATGTGTAAGAAGTTGGTTCATCAGGTTCAAGTGATTTTTGTCCATCAGTCTTCTCTCCACCTTTTCCTCCTCCTCCTCCTCCTACTAGTGAGTCCTCTAGTGGTGGATCCATAGACTCACTGACACTTCTCCTCTCCTTTAGTTGCTGCAACTGAAAGAGAGAGAGAGAGGGGGGGTTAACTCTTCTCCCTCACAAAGAAGAAGATACAACAGAACAGAAAGAGAGAGTGAGAGTGAGAGTAAACTGAACAAGTGTTAAGCTTTAAATAGAGGACACAGAGGACAAACACTGAGATAAAGGAAGTGAAGAGGTTGGACGCCTGTACCTTGTCTTTATACCTCATGGCAAACACTTTGTTGACGGTTTGTCTTCTCCGATGTACTTGCTCTGGGACGCCCTCGATGGCAGCATCAATAACAGCTATCCATTCTTGCATAGCAAGTTTATCAGCTGGACACGTATATGGTATTGGTAAGGGAATACAATGTGATATGAGTATCAAGCAAAAACATGACATTTAAACTACTTATAAATATCCAATATCCTTATAATAATATAGCAAGTATTATTATACTCATAATAATAATAATAATAATAATAATAATAATAATAATAATAATAAAAATAATAAAAATAATAATAATAATATACTCTTTTACTACTCTCAACAGGCCAAGGGAGTTGACTTACAGCAGCTAATGTAATAAGTCCGAGTGGCACCGTCTTCCAACAGTGGACCAACAGCAAAGCAGTTGGAATGAGATTTCGAGTTATCTTCCAGCGGTCTGGTACAATCTTAAGAGGGAGGGCAAAGAATTAAACGTACACGTAAAAATTACAAGAGAATGCTTTACGATAATTATAGTGATTAAAAGAACACTTTTATTTAATACCACACAGAAGAATGGCTCTTATATCAGCATTATCATTGGTATTATTACAAGCAGCAGAGTTTGTATATTATCAACTTACAAGTGACATTTAAGTGTACATAGCCAGCTGGTATCTTATCCTTATGACTCCTGTTGTGTTCATAATAAAGAGGAATAGGAGCTGAGCTATGAGAGACTCACCTGTAATACTCTAATGTAATGGAGGGGCCTCTTTTAACGAGGCGGAACCATCTTTTTCTCCAGTTAGTCCTACCAAACATGGCAGTCCCACTCTCCTTCACTGCCCATCCCTCGTGCAGGACCTCCCCACTATCTATTGAAGGTTATATAGCAAGTCAAATATGATCCGTTAATACAGGCACTACCTTTGCAGACTTCACGACTGTCTGAGAAAGAGCGCCGTCTTTTTGGAAGCGAAAATCTCTTTGCAGAGGCAGACGCCATGTTAAAGTAGAAGTGGCTATTGAGCCAGCCACACCCATTATTAATTAAGTTCTCTTGAACAATGGCGTATTCAGTAACACTGGAGAAAGGAAAGAATAACATGATAGGGATCAGTATAGGCGGTGGTGCTCCTTTCTGCCCTGTAGTATACATTGTACAGGTACGTATAGTCTGTTATCACCTTGTTTCTTGTACTAAATCATTGTGAACAACACAATACTTGTAGTCTTTTGTCTTCACTTCCTCTTTCTTATTTTCTAGTTATTTCATCGCACTCCTGCTTATGAAGATGGTTCCTTATGTCCTGGGGATCAGTTGGTTTCCATTAATGGAACTTCACTGGTTGAGTACACACGGAAACAAACTGCCGATCTCATTCAGTCAAGCCAAGTACGTTAATACTTCATTTTGTTCGAATCATTGTTTTTCATTTTTCAGGGAACAGTTCATATCACGTTCAATCGTATTCATCCACCGAAAGAAAAGAGTTTAGATATTTGTGAGTTTTAATTTGCTCAAATAATAATAATAATAGCATACATGTACATGTATGCGCTCTGTACTATAAAAATGATTGAGAATCTATAATGTTGTTTTTTATTTCAGCAATGAAGAAGCTAAAGCATAAGATAGTTGAAAAGATGAAGGAGAGCACTGCAGACACACTTGGAATAACAAGAGCAGTCCTTGTTAATGGTAAGAGCAGAAGGAAATTTTAATTGCAAGTATTTTAGTCCTGGATCTATTCTAAAATATGATGTACTTTATCCATTAGATAAGTTGCTAAAGAAGTTGGATCACCTTGAGCATACATCTAAAGTCTGTGCAGGTATAAGCCGGTGATGCTTATTAATGCATGAGTATTGGACTCTTGATGCTACTAGGTATTGCTTTTAATGCAAGAGATGTCATCATTCAAGTGAAGGGACTAGCAAGAGGACATCATAGTCAGATAGAGCAATAATTACATTATGCAGTCTTTATATGCGTTTATGTAGATATGAGTAGTGTGTTCAATAATATTGGTGTTTATGAACCACATACTGATGCCAGTGTTGCTTTTGCTAATTTTGGTGCAGCTCACAAGTTAGTTTTGTCTCTCTCCATCTTCCTTCATTTCTCATTCCTCTTCCATTGCTTAGGAGCATGGCTGAAGAAGGAGACAAGCTAGTATCCAGAGTTGGACCTGTTAGTTTTATGTGCATACACATGTAGTCATTAAATTTTATAAATTGTACTTTGTAGATGCTTAAAGATCTTCGTACATTCTTAACAAAGGTTAATACTTATTTTTAAATTGTAATAAAATCTAATAGATGTAATGTTTTTAAAATGTAGGGGGGATTTCTGACTCATTTTTTAGAAAAAACCATGGGCTATAATAGCCTTGGGTGATTTTCAGAATTTTGAAATTTTCTTAAAATTGCCGTAACTCAAAAAATTGAAGTTGGAATCAGCTCAAACTTTCTACATGGCATAAAGACATCAATATGCATGAGAAAATGTAATAAAAATTTGTGGTGATTTTGGAGCCATTTTTTGAAAAAACCATGGGCTATAGCCTTGGGTATTTTTTAGGTTTTTGACATTTTCTTAAAATGGCCGTAACTTGAAAAATTGAAGTCAGAATCACCTCAAACTTTCTACACAGCATAAGAACATCAATATGTATCAGAAAATGTAATAAAAATTTGGGGTGATTTCGGAGCCATTTTTTGAAAAAAAAACCATGGATTATAGCCTTGGGTATTTTTTAGGTTTTTGACGTTTTCTTAAAATGGCCGTAACTTGAAAAATTAAAGTCAGAATCACCTCAAACTTTCTACACAGCATAAGAACATCAACATGTATTAGAAAATGTAATAAAAATTTGAGGTGATTTTGGAGCCATTTTTTGATAAAAAACCATGGACTATAGCCTTGGGTATTTTTTAGGTTTTTGACATTTTCTTAAAATGGCCGTAACTTGAAAAATGAAGTCAGAATCACCTCAAACTTTCTATATAGCATAAGAACATCAATATGTATCAGAAAATGTAATAAAAATTTGGGGTGATTTCGGAGCCATTTTAAAAAAAAACCGTGGGCTATAGCCTTGGGTAATTTTCAGAATTTTGACATTTTCTTAAAATGGCCGTAACTTGAAGAATTGAAGTCAGAATCACCTCAAACTTTCTACACAGCATAAAGACATCAATATGTATCAGAAAATGTAATAAAAATTTGGGGTGATTTCGGAGCCATTTTTTGAAAAAACCATGGGCTATAGCCTTGGGTATTTTTTAGGTTTTTGACGTTTTCTTAAAATGACCGTAACTTGAAAAATTAAAGTCAGAATCACCTCAAACTTTCTACACAGCATAAGAACATCAACATGTATTAGAAAATGTAATAAAAATTTGAGGTGATTTTGGAGCCATTTTTTGAAAAAAACCATGGGCATAGCCTTGGGTATTTTTTAGGTTTTTGACATTTTCTTAAAATGGCCGTAACTTGAAAAATTGAAGTCATAATCACCTCAAACTTTCTACACAGCATAAGAACATCAATATGTATCAGAAAATGTAATAAAAATTTGGAGTGATTTTGGAGCCATTTTTCAGAAAAAGCCATGGGGCCTTTGCTTTTTTCAAAAATTGGCTTTTTTTAGAAATTCTCATAACTCAAAAATTATTTGTCAGAATCAGCTCTTTTTACATAACATAAGGACTATAGTTTTATACCTCTTTTTTACTATAGGCTGTCCCCGATACTAAGCTGACCATCAAAAAATATCAAAGTGCCAAGTTTGAGTTTCTAGTAAGTTCCTTGATGAACTGATGATCATGATAAACTTTATTGCTACTCTTTATTGCAGTCGTACTGTTTGAAGGTGAAAGAGATGGATGATGAGGAATACGAATGCAATGTAAGTATTTTTGTACACCTGCTAGTCTCTTTATGCGCTACATCTGCAGCACATTGGACAACCATTGCCTCGTGTGATGACTGGGAACTACGAATACAGAGTTTTGCTTAGATGCCGTCATGCTACAAAAAGGAAGTTTATGAAACTTCGTTCGGACGTTTTGGTAAAACTTCAGCTATTGGACAACAAAAGAGGTACAGTAATGTGTGCATGGATTATGGTGGGCTTGTACATACTTGGTTTTCACTCAGATATCGCTTTGCATGTCGCATTTTGATGCACAGGTTTCACTTAGTAAAGTATTCATATTTTTTTAATAGTACAAGATCTGGCATTTCAGCTTGAGAGGTTGATTGGTGGCATGTATGTATACTGCAGACAGAGTTACAATGTACTCAAGCCTGCCTGTGTCTTTCCCATTGAAGTACAGTTGCAGCTAGAAGAGAAGCAGGGCCCCATTGGAATGGAGGAGGGAGAGAGAGGCACAGCTACTCTGACAGAGGTTAAGAAAAAAGATGATGATGACGTTCCGCTACTTGATCTTCCTGCAGAAGAAGCGAAAAAAGAGGAAGGAGAGAAAAAAGAGGAAGTAGTTGATCTCATATCAATTTAACAATAATTTATTATTCATTCTTATTATTCCATTCATTCATTCATTCAGTATACCAGACTCAGTAAACAGGCCATACTTACAAATTCACTTTTGTTCACTTTAACTTTCTTTGTTATTTTTGATACTGCAAGGAGTTTTAAAAAAAACAGCAACACGATGTTTTGAGCTGTTGTTTATGCACAGCATTGCTGACTTCAAAATGGTTGTGTTTATGCACCCCCTAATGATCCCGCCCTGACTATAATAGTACATGCACATATTGGTTTTAACTTTAATAAGTGTATAACATAGCTCACCAATGATACCATACAGTTTAAACTGTCTGTGTTTGTGCAAATAACCAATTTTTTCAAAATTATTTTAATCATTCAAGTAGTCTAGAGCTACACAAATCAAACAATAATTAAAGACATGTTCCTTATATAATATAATTGATATACATTAATAAGACATTGTTCAAGTTCACACACATAATGAGTAAGTCTCATCCATAGTAGTAGTAGTAGCGATAGCTAGATCCACTGTAGCGATAGTAGTAATACCTGCTGCCACTGCTAGATCCACTACCACTGCTAGATCCACTGTAGTAATAATACCCGTTGCCAGATGCAGAAGATGCAACAGAAGTAGATATGGTAATGATATACACAATGAAGATAACAATGGATGTTATAATGGCAATGATGTTTAAAGCAAGTGACATCCTGCCAAGTGTTTTAGCCTGTGTAGGGTTTCCATTGTTATCCATCTGCTTAGCCTATTTATATTTAAAAAAATTATAAGTAGCATATTCTTGTATAGTTGCAATATACCATTATGGAAAAGACCAATGCAAGGATTGTACAAGGTAGTACAATAAGTCCGCAACAAAAGAAGAACAAGCAAAAAGTATTCAATATAGTTGACAGTGTGAAATAGTAGTCCTTATTCCTGTTAACCACTACTGGCTGTGTAATGATTATTCTCTCCTGAAGAAAAAATTAAAATAACTAAAAACACAGTATTATGGCTTATCTACTGTTGTTGGTGGAGGTGCTTGTTGTACAAATTGAACCGGTGGCTGTTGGAATATTTGAACTGGAGCATGTTGTTGCTGCATTACTGGCATTTGTCCTTGCACATGATGAGCAGGAGATCTCTGCATAGCAGGTGAGGGTACTTGCAATGTGTTTCCTTCAAATTGCTTGGTAATACCAGGCTGCTCATAAGGAGGAGGTTTAGCTACAGAAAAACATACAATTAACTTGGGCTAGATAATCATGCATTTATACCTTCATCCATATTTAGGGATCACCACTAGTGTTTTATGCTATCTTATGGGCCTAAGACTGCATGCACTGTCACTTATATACGAAATCAGTTCTAGGTGTGTCTATTTCTCTAAAATAACTGGAAAGGAAGATACGTAGTTCAAATATTGAAGAGGTATGAAAGAACAAACAGCAGTGCAGTTCAGAAATTAAGATGTTTTTATTATGAAAATAATGAACAGCATAGCAGATCAATCTATTTATTGAAAAGAATGATTAAAAAGTACTTTGAAAAATTAATGTTCTTTTTGCTAAAGAAAAGTCTCAACTCTCACTTGTAGCAATTATATGTATAAGAAGAATAGTAGTAGTTATAATAAAGGGAGCAAGAACTACTAGGAGTAGAAGTTTGGCTAGAATAGACCACACTTGCAATCATAATAATCACAATCATAATGCCAATAGCACCAGTGATCAGTCCTCCAATACTGCATCCAAGTGACCAGCGAGAATGTACCCGAGCAGTTTCCATGTCACCATGAGCTTCAGCATCACGGGCCTACAATCATGACATGGATATTAGAAAAGAATAAAGCATGCGCTTTATACAAAGAGAAGCATAAAACCAGCTTACCATGCTAGAGAAAATGATGGCTGGAATAGTACACAAGAGTGCAGACCATGACCCAGTGATAAAGCAAAGAACAGTGACAGTAACAGAAAGAGTCAAATAATGATCACCAACATCATGATGAATGGCAGTAGTAGCAATTGTAGGAGTTGGCTGAGAACTGACAACAACAGCACTGTTGTTTGTCTAGAAAATTGAAGGTAATTTTTAATTAAATTTTGCATCAGTTGGTATGTACATATTGACAGTGCATATATGTATTCACCTGTTTTTGAGGTTCAGAGATAGGAGTGTATCCATAATCATCCTGAGATTTATCAGAGAGTGGATCCTCACCTAGGAAAAATATAAAGATTATATTGCAGATGAGAGAGAAAGAAAGGAGAGCAAATGGAAGGAACTAAAATGTGTAGATGTATACCCACAGTAACTCACTTTTAAAGTTTTGTGGAGCAGGTGCATACCCTCTAGGCTGTGGTTGGTAATTCTATAAGTATAAGGACAACATAACAAACCATACAAAATATTGCCTTACTTGGAGTGGGTAACCTACAAAGAAGAAGAAAGAAACCATGATGCCTTTGCTAAAGATGCTAGATGTTCTTTTGTTTGTTGTGATTGGTGTTAATAGCTGTATAAATTACATTATATTAAGCTTCTAGTGTTCTGAATTTATAAACAAAGCTAACACATAAGAGTCTTTTTGCTGTACATTTATCACACTGAGATAAAGATATGTTACAAACAAGCATGCTTTAAGTTCTAGTCTACATTGTATATATATCTAAAGCCCCAACACTGAGGCAACATGTTGCTAGCAACATTTGTGATTATGATACTTTGATCAGAGAAAAAGAATATGTTCTATTTTTACAACAAAAACAACATTACAATTTGATAAATACATCAATGTGTCTCACCAGAGTCCATGGTTTCTCTTTTAGTTTGAGTGATTAGCTGAACTTGACTTAGCAAGAAGTATGATTCACTTTGCCCAACAGCTCCTGGATTTAGACAACTAAATGTTTTTTGGGCCCCGGGGGATTGGAATTTTATTTGATTGTTGAATCCTTTTAAATTCAATTTAATTTGGATAACAATGAAGGAGTTCTGTTGTTATTAGCCTATAATTGAAAATTTAAATGTACATTTTAGATCTAATTTTTTGCAGATTCACAACAGATAACCAGTGCAAGAACTGTGCACTTCAAATTGTTTGGCAATGCCAGCAGGTTGCGGGTAAGGAGGAGGTTTAGCTACAGGAATACATGCAATTGATTTAGACTAACCGTCATCATACAATTTTACCTTCATCCATATTTAGGGATCACCACTAGTGTTTTATGCTATCTTATGGACCTAAGACTGCTCGCACTGTCAGTTGTATAGGAAATCAGTTCTGGGTGTGTCAATTAACTCAATTTCTTTAACTGAAAGCAAGATAATTTTGAAAAGGTGTAAAAGAGCAAACAGAGGTGGAGTTAAAAAAGTAAACATAAAAAATTGGGATAAAACAACACAGTATATCAATCAAACTAATGAAATTATAAAGAAAAAACTAAAAAAAATTATTGTTCATCATTTCATTATTGTCACAAAAGAAAAGTCCATTGAGCTCTCACTTGCAACTGTATGTATAAGAAGAATATTGGTAATTATAATAATGGGAGCAAGTATGAATAGAAGAGGAGGATCTAGAATGGACCACGTTTAAACTTATCCAAACAATCACCATGGCAATGGCAATTAAACCAGTGACCACTCCTCCAATGTTGCATCCAAGTGACAAGCGAGAATTTCGCTGTGCACCCTCAATGTCACCACGAGCTTCAGCATCACGAGCCTATAATCATGATAATTATAAGGAATAATTTGAAAGCTTAACACTTGCATTAGATCTACTGTATAACTTTGAACATTACTATGTCTGCTATACACTACAAAGGAAAGCAAATCAACTTACCTGTATAGAGAAAGCGATGGCTGAAGCAGTACAAAAGAGTGCAACCCATGGCCCACAAATAAAGCAAAGAACAGTGAGGACAATAGACAAAGCCAAATAATGATCACCAACATCACGACGAATATTGGTAGCAATTGTAGGAGTTGGCTGAGAACTGACAACAATAGCACTGTTGCTTGTCTAGAAAATTGAAAGTGATTTTTAATTGAATTTTGCATCAGTTGGTATGTACATATTGACAGTGCATATATGTATTCACCTGTTTTTGAGGCTCAGAGATAGGAGTGTATCCATAACCATCCTGAGGTTTATCAGAGAGTGGATCCTCACCTAGAAAAAATATAAAGGAGAGCTAATAAAAGGAACTAGAATGCAAAGATGTACCCACTTTTAAAGTTTTGTGGAGCAGGTGCATACTCTGTAGGCTGTGGCTGGTAATTCTATAAGTACAAGGACAACATAACAAACCATACATATGCAGAGTATTGCCTTACTTGGAGTGGGTAGCCTACAAAAAAGAAGAAAGAAACCATGATGACATTGTTAAAGAAGTGTCTAGATGTTCTTTTGTGTGATTGGTGTTATATAGGTATATAATCAAGCTTCTATCGTCCAGAATTTATAAACAAAGCCAACACATAAGAGTATTTTTGCTGTACATTTATCACACTGAGATAAAGATCTATGTATGTTACAAACAAGCATGCTTTAAGTTCTGGTCTACATTGTATATATATATCTAAAGCCCCAACACTGAGGCAACATGTTGCTAGCAACATTTGTTAATATAATACTTTGATCTTGTGTCTAAGAAAAACATATGTTCTATTTTTACCACAAAACAACAAAAACAACATTACAATTTGATAAATACATCAATGTGTCTCACCAGAGTCCATGGTTTCTCTTTTAGTTTGAGCGGTTGGCTGAACTTGACAAGTTGGCAAGAATAATTATGATTTACTTTCTCCAACAGCTTCTGAATCTAAACAGCTAAATCTTTTTGGGCCGTAGGGGATTTTATTTGACTGGTGAATCCTTTTAAATTCAATTTAATTTGCATAAGAATGAAGGAATTCCGTTTTTATCCATATGCTGATTAGCCTATAATTTAAAAGTTTACAAGTACATAAATCTAGTAGATCTAATTTTTGTATTTGCATTATCCACTGCAACAAAAAATCAGTGCAAGAACAGTGCACTTCAAATTGTTTCTCAATGCCAGGTTGCTCATAAGGACAAGGCTTATAAGCTACAGGAATACATGCAATTGACTGAGACTAAAACATCATGCATTTATTATACCAAGAGTACCTTCATCCATATTTAAGAAATCACCACTATAGTATTTTATTTTAATCAAATTAAAGATTGCATGCACTGTCAGTCAATTTCTCTAAAATAACTGAAAGGAAGATATTATATTGAAGAGGTGTAAAAGAGCAAACAGCAGTGCAGTTTAAAAATTAAAACGTTTTTTTCTGAAAGAAATGGACATAGCAAACTAATCTAACTTATTGAAAAGAGTATTGTTTTTTTTTACAAAAGAAAAGTCCAACTCTCACTTGTCACAATAATGTTGCATAAGAAGAATAGTAGTAGTTATAATAAAGAGAGAGGAGTAGAGGTGTGGCTAAAATAGGTCATTTGTGCAATTATCATAATAATCACAATCACAGTAACAATAGGACCAATGATCAATCCTGCAATACTGCATCCAAGTGACAAGTGAGAGTTGACCTGAGCACTGTTCATGTCACCACGAACTTCAGCATCACGAGCCTACAATCATAATTATGGATATTAGAAAAGAATAATTTAATTTATTAACACTACAAAGGGAAGCATGCAATGAGTTTACTATGATAGAGAAAATGATGGCTGGAATAGTACACAAGAGTGCAGACCATGACCCAGTGATAAAGCAAAGAACAGTGACAGTAACAGAAAGAGTCAAATAATGATCACCAACATCATGATGAGTGGCAGAAGTAACAATTGTAGGAGTTGGCTGAGAACTGACAACAACAGCACTGTTGTTTTTCTAGAAAATTGAAGGTAATCTTTTATTAAACTTTGCATCAGTTGGTATGTACATATTGACAGTGCATATATGTATTCACCTGTTTTTGAGGCTCAGAGATAGGAGTGTATCCATAACCATCCTGAGGTTCATCAGGGAGTGGATCCTTACCTAGAAAAAATATAAAGATAATATTGCATATGAGAGTAAAAAAAGAGCAAATGAAAGGAACTAAAATGTGTAGATGTATATAGTCAGTTTGAGTCAGTTGAGTTTGACCACTGACCCACCCCTATAACTTCTCTATAATTTATGTTAGCAGCTTGAAACTTGGTATAGTTGTTGCAAAACATGTTCTTCCAAAGTTTGTACAAATTTTAGGGTCCTTGGGTACTCTGGAAGGTTCTCAAAAGGTTTTTCCGGTCAACATGAAAGGGAGCCACCGTGATGTTTCATGACGTGTAGCTTTGTGAACATCATTTGCATCTCATTACATTTATGTTTTTTTTCATGTAATTTGCAGAGTTAGCAGCAACCATAATAGAAAAATAAACAAGCAAGAAGAAAAGAGCATGCTTGACTACACTCATCATGGATTCCTGGTTTTCAGCGATTCATTTTTTATTTGTGTGTGGGTGGGAATAGGCTACACTTGACTTTTTGATCATAGACATAAGATAAGAGTAAATAATATTAGATGAAAATATCCGGTCAAACTCAACTAAAATTGAATTTACTCACTTTTAAAGTTAATTTGTGGAGCAGGTGCATACCCTGTAGATGGTTGTGGCTGGTAATTCTACGAGTACACAGATATTACATACACATAACAAACCATGCATAAACTACACAGAGTATTGCCTTACTTGGAATGGATAACCTACAAAAGAAACAAACCATGATGACTTTGCTAATGAAATGTCTAAACGATACTTGATACTATAAACAATCTATGCTATAGATCATAAAGTGGACAGATTCTCTTCTATTGTTTAGAATTTGGATCCATAAGAGTCATTTTTGTTTTGCTGTACATAAAGAATCAACAGCATGCATGCTACAAACAAGATCAGAAGCCGCATTTATGTGTAATACTACATTTTTGTGGAGATGCAACTGAATTAACATTAATAATAATTTAAATGAACATCAATATTATTGATTTAAGACCAAATTTATGTATATAACATATACAAACAAGCAAAACAACATTTATAAATACTAAATGCATCAATGTGTCTCACCAGAGTCCATGATTTCTAGCTAAACTTGACTTCAGTGGCAAGAATATGATTCACTTTCTCCAGCAGCTTCTGGCTGAATGTTGTATGGGCCCGCCCTGACTGAGGGATTGGAATTTTATTCTGATTGTGGAACCCATACAAATAATTCTAAATTAATTTGTCTATAAAACTATCTATCTAGTGATGAAGGAGTGCCATTCTCATTCCTATACATAAATCAAAAATTCAAAAGTAGTAGATCCAAATTTTCACAGTTGTGTTACCCTATGGAAAGAACTTTACATTTAAAATTGCTAGGAAGTTGATAATACCAGATTGCTCATAAGGAGGAGGTTTTGCTACAGTATAATAATAGATGCAATTAACTGCATTTATACCCTCATTCATATTTAGGGAATCACCACTAGTACTGCTATTTTATGGACCTGCACTGTCATAATTTAAATATGTGTGGAGCAAAAATTTCATAAGGTACAAAAATAGAAATTAATTGCTCAAGATCTAATTACCTTGCAGCATTTTTGTACCTAATCATTTGTATTAAAATTTTTGATGTGACACACTCTTTTAAAAATGGTCATTGATTTTACAGAGAACAATTGACCTAGCCTAGTATAAAAACTAACAAAATAATATGGTATTTAAAATTTTTGATTAAAAATTGTAATAGCTAAAATGAATAGAGCATGTACTGGAATCATGTTACCATACAATAATTAGAATAATAACAGTCAAAATTAAAATAACACCAGAGACTAGTCCAACAATATTGCAACCAAGTGCGAGGCAAGAATAAATCTGAACCCAGCGAATGTTCCCACGAGCTTCAGCATGACGAGCCTATGATTGTTGAGCAATCATATCAATGGATAATAGTTATAATCATCATGATTATTATGTCAATATATCCATTAAGAAAGTGCAACCAACTTACCAAGAGAGAGAAAATGAAGGCTGGAACAGAAAAGAGGAACACAACAGGCCAGGTACCACAAAAGCAGCTAAGAATAATGCAGATAATAGAAAGTCTCAGATGACTATCATCAAGATCACGACTGATGACAGATCTAGTAGCAATTGTAGGAGTTGGCTGAGAAATGACAACAATAGCACTGTTGTTTGTCTAGAAAATTAAAAGCAATCTTTAATTAAATTTTGTATCAGTTGGTATGTACATATTGACAGTGCATATATGTATTCACCTGTTTTTGAGGCTCAGAGATAGGAGTGTATCCATAACCATCCTGAGGTTTATCAGGGAGTGGATCCTCATCTAGGAATATTATAAAAATTATATTGTGGAAGAGAGAGAAAGAGGAAGTGTAGAGGTGAGAAACTGAGAATGTACTCACTTTTGAAGTTTTGTGGAGCAGGTGCATACCCTGTAGTTGGTGGCTGGTAATTCTATAAGTACAAGAACCACATAACAAACCATACATACACAAAGTATTGCCTTACTTGGAGTGATTGATCTACAAAAAAAAATTAAAAAGAAACCATGATAACATTTTACTTTGTATAGATAATTGTAATTTGTGTGTAAAATAATAATAATAAAGTGGAATAAACATTAGCTACAGATTTTCTTAGAATTTAGAAATTTATTTGTAAACAAAACCAATGAGTTTTTGCTGTACAACTAATCACACTAAGATTGAGGCACAACTAGGTGAATATCAATACCATTCAATAATTGGCCAAACAACATTACACTGCATCAGTGTGTCTCACCAGAGTCCATGATTTCTTTAGTTATCAGCTGAACTTGACTTGGCAAGAATATTATGATTCACTAGCTTTCTCAAACAGTTCCTGAATCTAGACAGCTAAATGTTTGTGTGGGCCTTGCCGGAGGCATGGGAATTTTATTTCATTGTAGAATCCATAAAGATGGTTTTAAATTAATAATAGCACTATGCAGGAGCTCTTCAAACTTGTTGTTAATAGAGGAAATGTAACTTTAAGTGGATTATTAATTGCTGGTTCAAATGAAGGGACTGGGAAGAGAATTGCCATCACAGTGAGAGATATAGTAATAATTACATAATTTTAAAAAATTTCATCAAAGGAATAAATGGGAAAAACAACATTGTATATAATTAACTAAATGAACAGTACAACTATTTATGAAGAAAACTTGTACATTTTGCAGTTGCTGTCTTTCATATTAATGTCACAAAAGACAACTCTCATTTGTAGCAGTAATAGCGGTAGCTATCATAGGTATAGCTATAATAATAATAGCAATAAGAATAATATGAAGATGCAGCGGAAGATGCAGCAGAGACTTCGATTGCAATTACAATGATCAGAATCACAATGCCAGCAACATTAGATACAATTCCTCCAATATTGCAACCAAGGGACAGGCGAGAGTTGGTCTGAGCACTGTCCATGTCACCACGAGCCTCAGCATCACGAGCCTACAATTAAAATAGAGCAATAATAATTATAAATAGCTTAATTAATAGCTATCAGCATTTCATAAACGTATTCATTATCATAATGTCTTACAGATCAGGGTTTCCCACAAAACATGCTAAACAGCATGCTTCATGAGTCCACAAGCATTATGATATAGTACATGACTTTTCAGTTTTGTGGCAACTTTAAAAAATTCATTAAAAAAATCCAATTTTGATTGGAATCAGCTCAAATTTCAAGCATAGCATAAGCATATATGTATCAAAAAAATTATAAAAATTGAAAATTCTCCTTTTTTCAATTTTGGTGAAATTTGGCTTGTGACCCTGTACTATTATAGTACAGGGACTTTGACCCAATTTCTGAGCAATTTTAAAAATTAATAAATTCAATTTTGATCGTAATCAGCAGCTTCAAATTTCGAACATAGCATAAGTACATGTGTATGTTCAGAAAAAAATTATAAAAATGAAGAATTCTTGCCTAGCAATTTTTGACAATACCCTGTACTACAGTGCAGGGTATTTTGTCAAGTTGAGCAAATTTTAAAAAATCTACTGACAAGAAGTTGAACTCAATGCCAAAAATTCTGTGGGAAACACTGCTATAAATTACTACAAACTAAAGATAATAAGCTTACCATGGTAGAGAAAATGATGGCTGGAATAGTACACAAGAGTGCATGCCAGGCCCCACAAATGAAGCAAACAATAGTGAGGACTATAGACAGAGTCAAGAAATGATCACCAACAGGACGAATGGTGGTAACTATAGCAGGAGTTGGCTGAGAATTGACCACCACAACATTGTTGCTTGACTAGATAAAGGAATACAAAGTTGAAAGTGGAAAACGTGCTTAGTACATTAACGTGATGCTAGTTCAAACATTCATGCACTTTGGTTTAAATAATCATAGTCTTGCTAAGAGATATTGACACAACAACTAACATCAACAAAACAAGTGCCACAAGTTAACACAGCAACTAAAACGGTGCAATTCCCCATAGTTTTGTGCCTGCTTTCAAGTGATCTGTTGTTGTCGTGTAAACCCAGCCTTAAAAATAATATGTGGTTAGAGTCTACAGTGATGTCACGACTATTATTATTATTATTCACAAGTATTGCATGAGAAAGTACAAATATATGAATACAGGATGTTTCCATAACAATTATAGTAAATAATTCAATTTTACATAAATTGGCATCCACAAATTATTATCAGTATTTGTAACTATGCATGTGTGGGTGGATTACTTGCTGTTGAGGAACAGGGGCAGCAGGAGCATAGCCATAACCAGGCTGTGGCTGGGGAGGAGGCACACTATAAGGAGGTGGAACCTCATCTAGAAAAAAGAATATACATGTATAGTGATGCAGAAGAGAAGGAAAAGGGGAGAGAGAGAGAGAGAGAGAGAGAGAGAGAGAGAGAGAGAGAGAGAGAGAGAGAGAGAGAGAGAGAGA